TGGGGTTTTTTTAAGGAAGTGAATATGAGCCCATGCACTGTCAGCATGAAGTTTCTGCTCAATTTTCCATTGAAAGAATGCATACTTTCTAATTTTATACTGATTGATATAATTCAAATATATTAGGAGGTAATGGAATCTTTGGACTAATCATTGTGTTAATATGTGATAATATACTACAATGTAGTATTAAGAGGAAAAACATGGATTCATTGAATATGCTGTTCTCTTACAGCGACAGAAAGGAACTTGGAAGCTTTTGATTCTGTTTTAGACTCAGCTGAAACTTGTTATGATACCTAACCTCAATGAACTACAGTTTTTTTTAATCACATGTAATTAGACTAAATTACAGTTAAGGATTCAAATGTATTCAGCTGGGTATTCTGAAATAGGACCATATTAGAGAATATGGAAGAGAGGGCAAAGCAGTGGCTCATTCTTGTCATGTTAGAGTATGGTTTAGCAAATTGGCTTATGTTTATTTCAGAATGCTACTGCAGGTTTGTATAATTAATATGAGATTGTCTTATTTGAGATCTCTAAATTATCTTAACTTTTTTAAAGAAAATTTGATTGGATTCCTCACTGAAATGCTACTTTTGGCTTTGTAATTTCTTTTAGAAATTTGGAGTCAAATACTTGATTCTATCTTCTGCATATATTATTTTCAGCATATTGAAAATTGTTGCATCAGATATGGAATTTAAGTACAATCTTTAGCTTATATAAGATATTTCATTTTTAATCTATATGCTTATGGAAGTTTGGTTTTCTTAAAATATTTCAGAATTAGGATATTTAAAGAAACGTTACATGCATTTTTAGGAATAGGATATCAGCTCCTATCTGGTATAAATGCCTTTTTCTTAATTTATATAATTGGTTGTGATTAATGAATAATAAAATTGAGCTTAATCTCTGTAATTCTAGGCAGTCCTGAAGATCTTGGGTGCTACTTTTTTGCATTAAAATTTGCCTAGTGTGGAATATGTCTGGTGTGGAAATTGTTATCCTCTAGTTTTTGCTAAACTCTCTTAGGATCCCTGTTGGCCATGCTGGCTTGCTGCTGAGAGTTTTAATTCTGTTAACATATAGCGGGCCAGAGGTTTCTAGGCGCTACTTTATGTCAAGTTTTCTTTTTCTTCCAAACTTCTTTTGAGCAAGTTAGTAAAAGCATACTAAAATATGATTGTATAAATACAGTGTATTAAAGCCTTTTCTTAACTGAATAATGCATGGCCAAGAAGCAGGTCTGAGTGCTTTTTAAGTAGGAAAGAGTGATAAAAATATTTTTAATGAAGAAAGATATTGCTAGCTATAATTATCTTGATATATACTGGTGAGTATGATGGATTTCCCCAGTTCTTACTTCCATTTAAGTTTCTGGAGAATTGTATATTGATTTTAGAAAATCTGCATATTCCATAATGTAATTGTCTAGAAACAACTGTAGCAGTACTCATGAATAGAATTGACTCTTCTAAGAATGTGTGCCTTGCTTTTGATCATTGCAGCTCTCAGAAATTAAGAGATGTTTAGTCTTTGTTAAAATCTTGCTTTTTATATGGTTTATTTTCTCTAGTTTTCAGAAGATAGAGATGGACTTTTTAAAGAAAATGCAATATAGAAACTTGGAACAGCATTATTAATGGAATTTAATATCTTGAGTATTCAAATATTAAGTTACAGAAGATAATTTTACTTCCAGACTGTTACAAACTGTAACAGTGAATTGAGCTGTATTATTCATCAGCTTAAAGTTGTATACTAAGAGTATTTGTGATTTGAAACAGTTCAGTAATGTATTTCTTTCTTTTGCAGATGCTGTCCCACTCTTTTTGAGGTTGCTGCATTCACCCCATCAAAATGTTTGTGAACAAGCAGTATGGGCTTTAGGCAATATCATAGGTTTGTTATATTTTATGTAAAAACATGCCAATTCAATCACCAAACATTTAATAATTTACCAGGCTTGCACTACAATATTAGTTTTTCTCAGAAACATTTTGTAGGTAATCTTTTTTCTCTGTTTCTCCAAAGTATCTTTTAGTGATATGTGTGGATGTTCTGATAAAATTACATGGAATTTTATCAGAACATCCACACA